ATACATGAATAAAATATTTACAAATTGAGTTACGAAGAAAATGTGCAAGGTTCTAAGATGGAGAGATGACAGGGGTTGGAGCTGCAAAGTGGTTTTGTTATGGTGGTCAGCAAAAGGCCTCTCTGGGGTAATACTAAACCTGGGACAGAAAGAATGACAGAAAGAAGCAGTGATATGAAAAATCATGAGGTGGGGCATGTGTTCCTCCCATCTTCCCACAGTGAAAATTTAACTATCCAATTGGACGCAGTGGCTGAAACATACTCCCTTGGGGTATGTTTTTAGGGATAGTTTAAATATATATGCCTTTTTAAAATGTGTACAATGTAGTTATGACAAATTCAAAAAACTTATTGCCATCAAGTCAGATTCAATTCACAGCGATTCCTCCTTGGGTTTCTGAGGCATTATCACTGTGGAAGTAGATTGCCCAACCTTCCTTCCAAGGAGGAAAGATATAAATGCATCCTTTAATCGTTATAGGAGTTCTGGTAGTGCAGCACCTAAGGCATCTGACTGCTGACCATAAGGCTGGCAGTTCAAACCCACCAGCCAGACCTTGGAGGAAGACTGGCAATCTACTTTCATAGAGATATCTCCTCATACACCCAAGGAAGGATTGCTATGAGTCGGGATCAATTTGATGGCAGTGAGTTTTTTTTTTTTTTTCTAATCACTATAAAAATACTGTCAAGATAATTTATAAACAAAGTGAATCACAACAGTTTACACAGGGATCCTTTCCACAGGGAATTCATTGTAAGTCTCAGAACCAGGATTATTAGACAATACTCTGTTGCTCTCCAGTGGATTCTGACACATAGGGTCTTTACAGAACAGAGTAGAACTGTTCCATAGGGTATCCATGGCTACAATCTTTACAGAACCAGACTGCCACATCTTCCTCCATGAGACTGTTGCTTGGTACCAACCACTGACCTTTCGGTTCGCAACTGAGAGGCTTAACCATTATGCCACCAGGGCTCCTTCTTAAACTACAGAGGCACGAAATACATCCCCCTGTCCTAGTATGAAGGAGCTCTGGTGGCACAGTGCCTAAGGCATTTGACTGCTAACCAGAAGGTTGGTGATTCAAACCCACCTGCCACTCCGCAGAAAGAAGAGTGGGCAATCTACTTCCATAAAGATTTACCACCTTGGAAATCCAAAGGGGGTCACTATTAGTTGGAACCAACTTGATGGCATTGAGTTTGATTTTTTTTGGTCCCAATATGTAACCATAGTCTGGACTTCCTTAAGGTGAGTCGATCTGTAAATGAAAAAAGAAACATGGTTTATTAAAAAGGTAAATTTCCCAAATGGTAATTCTCGTAGGAGATCACCAGGTCTTTGCCATTCTAAAATCTGGGATCCATCTCCCTCTGTCCAATCTTCCCATTCTTGAGGAGACAAGGAGACAGAATCTAAAGTGTCTGAATGCTTAGCCACTAGGGGGAGGAAGTGTGCCTCTGGCGACCCAGGAGCCAATGAAACACTGGAAAAGGATAGACTTTCAAGGGAGCTAAATTAAGCACTAATCAGCCAGGGGCAAGAACTCAAATCAAAGTGGTGGCTCTGGGGAACTAGAGGATGAATACTTAAGACTTCACCATAGATCTTTTTCTCCTGAAGGATTAAATTGCTTAAACCACCAGATATTTCATGTCAATTTTGAATATATTTTAATCCATCTTTTCTAAGGACCTTCATATCTTCGTAGATTCTTAAACACTTAGAATTACCTTTTATGAAGAGTTTATGTCAATTTAGAGAAGTCATGTTACTCTTTATAACTGACATTTATTCATGAAAACACATTCTAATTTTCCGAGATAATTTAGGATTAAAGTCTTTGCTATCTATTGGGATGACTAGAATGTTTGTGGAATTCTCTGTTCAGTCTTCCAAAATATGATTTTAGGCAAATTACTTTCATTTAGACAAATGGCTACTAGGTTCAAGTATCTGCTTTACCGATACGAAATTCACACTAAATGCAATTTTTCTTGATATCACCATAAAGTTCTTGTAAACTGGAGACCAAATGATTTGCTCTCTTATGCAAACTGGCTAATCTTGTTTGCAGTGTGGTACCACATACAATTTGTTCGTAATTAGAAATTGAGTGCATGGTAGGTACTATCATTTAGTAAATACCATGTATGGAACAAATATTTACAAAGTGATTCATTATGAAATTTAAGTACTGCACAGAACTAAACAAGTCATAGGGTATCCATTATGCGGTATCATTGTCAATGAATTCCTCCTCCTCCTCCCCAAAATCTGAATAAAAGACATTCTTGAAAATTCCCCAGACACAGTATGGCTGTTTAAGATATAGTTGATGATTTTATTTTCAATGTATCAGCTTTTTCCTCAGCAGTAAAGAAAAAAAACACAACTATTTCTGGGATTCGTGAAATGAGTAGGTATATGGTGCCTGGTCCTCTTTCAACATTGATTTTCTTCACAATCTGTAATATGGTTTCTCAGAAATGCTGCTTGGAGGTCCTGATAATTTCACGTGTTTTCAAATTTAAGCCACCCAGACTACACAGTTCAGAATTTTCAATTCTTTTCATTTTCTTTTTCCCTTTAATGAGAGAAGTCTCTATTTCTTCTTTTTACACATGTGGTCAAAAAAGATACTACATGCTACTACTATTTGTAGAAAAAAACAGGCATTTGCTTTTCTCGTGATAAAAAGTTTATTCCCGAACAGAAAAGAAAAAGAAGAAAGGCGTGCCATATCTAATCGATGATTCTGATGGCCAACACTTTACACTCCGGCTACAACTATTTGGACACTGATACTTTTCTTAGACTTCTGTGGATGTGGCCTATGCCTAGGGTGAAAAAGTACACACTAATTTTAAACTTGCACTGTAAAGCACTTTTAAAATAGTAAGTGTCGAGCTTCATTTCAAACCTGAATTTCCTTCCCGGTCCATTCCTGAGGACCCCTTTATCCTGATTCGTATCCTGGTCTATGGGGTGCTGGTTTCTGAAACTGTATCGCACAGTTCATTGCGAAGCCCGAGTGGGTGGGTCCACGCGCACACCCAGCCTTGGGCCAGGACGCCGATCCCGGAGCTCCGCGCCGGGCGCCAGGATCGCCGTCCCGCTCCCTTCGCCCGGCCTCAGCACAAATCCCAGCGGGAAAGAAAACTTCACGCGGCCGAAATGAGCCTCCCTCCGCCCTTCCAGTCCTTAGTTCGCAGCCGGCAGAAAACGTGAGCTACCTTATGACTCGGAGGAGTGGGCGGGGGTGGCCGAGGTACGCTCGTTAGCGGGTTACCTGGTTCTCTTTGGGGGGCGGGGTCCGTGGTCCGGGTTAGCCGGGAGGGGGCGACGCGGCCGGGCTCGCGGGTGGGCGCGAGAGAGTGCGCGCGTCGCGGAGCCGCCGGGGCAGCACTTGTCCTGTAATCGATTGCCGAGCGCGCCGAGCAGCCGGGCGCGCAGACACGCGCACACGCGCCCGTCCGCGCGCCCACACGCGCGAACATACACACACAGACACACACGCACACACACACGCACACACATACATACACACGCAAGGCGCCCAGGCCCCGCACACACGCACGCAGGCGTGCGCGCACGCACGCCTACCCACCCGCACCCCTAGCCCCGCCGCCCGCCCGACCTCCGCCCGTGGGCGTCTGCGCGAGCCCGGCCGGCGGGGGAGATGTGCTCGGGCTCCGCCGGATCGGTTTCTCGGGGTTTGACCAGCTGTCCCGGGCTAACCCTGCTCCTCGCTGAAGATGGAGGAAGTAAAAACAGGATTACCCTTAGCTACAGATCCACTGCCTTAGTTTCCACCACCAACTGCAGTGCACAAACACACGTTAGGCACAGGAAAGAAAGAAAGAGAGAGGACACACTAACAGTAAACACAAACAAAAGGGTGATGGGATTATTTTACTGCATGCACTGCTGAGGTAAATCTCCGCTTGGCTTTTGCGTGGGGAAGAACAGCTCTTGTTTTATTTGTCTTCTGATTCATAGCTTATATATAAATATGTGTATCTGATTTGCAAAAGGGGGGAGTGTTTTCAAAGTTAAGTGTAATTATATAGCATCTCGTTTTGCAATGTGATGTGATCAAATGACTTGTTGCTGTTAGCCAGTAATAATAATAATATAGATATTTTTCTCTAGGAGAGATGGATTGTGGTTATGATTTAAGATAATGATTTCTGTAAAGGGCGCTCAGGGAATTGGGTTGAAGATGATGTCCTCTGTCTTAATTTCTTGTCCCCTCCTTGTGTTCTGTTTCTGGGATGTTAATCGATTAATCAGTTCTCATCTCTATAGCTGTCATGGATTTGGGCTTGTTTTGCTTTGTTTTAACTTGAATTCCAAGGAGATTGGGTAGTCTGGAATAAATTGCAGCTGTCCAGATAGAAGGTAATATTCAGATCCTGTAGGAAAAAAAAAATTAAAATAACCCCAAAACCTCAACACTGGTATGTCACATGTGAAAAAGCATCAGTTAAATCACTTTTGACAGGTTCTAGTATGGGCAAAAGAGATGGAATTAATATGATTATCATTATTATATTTGCCAAGGGCCAAAAACAGTTTTGTGAAGTTGGCCTAGGCTCCTTGCAGGGTTCTGCCGACTGCCCCTCCCCTTTTTACTCCCCCCACCCCCCTTTTCTTTCAGTTTTCTTGTCTTAGCTTTTGGTCGATTCTTAAGGAACCGGTGGATCAAGTTTTTTCTCTTCTTGTTAATCTCATTGCTGTAGCACTGACTGACCTCTCTTTTTTTTCCTCTTTCCTGAAAGTACGTGGTGCCATTCCTGAGTGACTTTTCCTACTAGACCATCCCAAAGGGACGAGGGGGAGGGGTGAAAGGAGGAGGTGGAGGAGAAGGGGGGTGTTCCTTCTCATTTCTTGGTTTTGTTTATCGGCCGATCTGTTTGCTGGATTTGGGCTCCGAATGACCCACCTGTAAAGTGCTTTTCCTTCCTCCTTGCCTTGAACTCTGCAGGGGGCTTGGCTAGGAGGGGGCAAGGGAGGGAGAGAGAAGGGGAGACACAAAAAACTTCTTTCTTTCTCTCTCCGTTTATCTTCAGCCCGACATTGTCACCTCCTCTTTGAGGGGTTAGAAGAAGCTGAGATCTCCCGACAGAGCTGGAAATGGTGATGAATCTTTTTTAATCAAAGGACAATTTCTTTTGTATGTACATTTCGTTTCTCTTTCTCCTTTTCTTTTTCTTTCTTTCCTTCTTTGAGGGTTAATAACCCTTTCATTGATGGGGCAGACTTCTTTCGTTTCTCCCTGACGTTTCTTTCTTTTGAATATGTATGTGTTAAATGTGTACATTTTTAAAGAGGTAAACTCATTTGTAAAATATCCGAAGAATCTGCTCCCCTTTTAAACTTTGCAGATCCCTTTTTTTAAAGCCTTATGTAATCATAATTTGAAAGAGTATGATAACATACAGCAGGTTGAAATTTTAAGTGCTATGTAGTGACTGAGTTGGGAATTTGATCTGATTATTCCATAAAGAAAGAAAGAAAAGTTTTTTTGGGGGGGCGGAGGGTGGTGGTGAAGAAGGGGAAGGGAGGGAGAAGGGAAGTGGTTTTGGAGACAAGAAGTGAAGCTGCCTGTTTTCCAGTAAGTAATGGAGAAATTCCAGGAGCCAGGGCTAAATATACTTGGCGATCAATACAGAAATGGCTCATTGTGAATAATTTAGCTGCTGGTGCAGTGAGAGTTTTGAAACTAAAGGCAAAAAGGACCAGGGCCAAAGGAAAAAAAAAAAATAATAAGTTAAAAAAATCTCCTCAGGACATGTCAGTTCTTTAAACTTTTTCTTTCAAAGAATACAGTTAGATTACAGATTTTTTCATTATGTAAAATCAAAGCTAGGGGGTGTCATCTCATGCAATTTACTTTTGTTTCTGAGAATTAAGTTCTTGTTTTTGTGTCATTGGGACATAAAAATAGTTCCCCAAACTTAAAAAAATAAAAAATAAAAAAGTGATTCCGCCTCCCCCACTGCACAAAAGTTTATGAAATTTTCAAAATCAGAATGTATTAAGCAGGCTTGGCATCCATACCCATCCGCGATCTGCCAGGAAATTAAGGTTACATTGAACAGGTGCTTAAACAGAGCTTGGGGTAGGCTAAAATGTCAGTACAAGTCAGGGAGTTGGGTAACTGCTTCAGAAATCTTAGAGACACACTTGGGCACTAAGTTTTTTGTTTTATTTTGTTTTTGTATGTTTGTTTGCACACCCCCCCCCCCCATTTAGAACATGATGAACCAACTTGCAACAATTGTGAATAGAGCTATCTGTATACTGGGGAAGTCTTCAAACTGCAGTGTGATTGTGGGAACTGGTGAATGGTAAAATACTTCAGTCCCAGCTAAAGCTGGCACATTTGAGGTGTGATACCCTTCTCCCCAGTACTTTTTCTTTAAACCAAGTAAATTGTGATTAAGAGAGTCATTCCTTTCTTGCTACAGCCCATCTCGAAGCACACTTATCTTTCCTGTCCTATCTCCAGCAGGAATCAGATCATTTGCAGAAAGAGTTCAGTGACTTGCAAATGAGCACATACAGTACACTGTAGTATGTTTCTTGGGCACAGGTTGCAGCAGCAGCAACATGGGCTAATTGCTTTGAGCTTCAAATAAGTTAAGCATGTAATGGTAGATACTGAAAGGAATCATTGTTTTAAGGGTATAATCTTTTATTTTGCAGCACTGCACTTTGACTATGGAAACAGAGGCTATTGATGGCTATATTACATGTAAGTATTCATTTTCATTAATTTGTTATTGGTAATAAAATTACCTTTGTTTGCCCTGTATTTTAGTACATGGATTACAAGATTTTATCAAGAATTCTAGACTCTTACTTTCTGTCTGTTCCAAATTTCACCTTTAACTGGGTTTAAGGAAATAGCACAGAAACAAGAAAGAAAGAGAGAAATATGCTGCCTTCGTACTGTATTATGAATAATATTTCCATCACTGGTAACCTAGCACATCACCATTTTCCTGCTTGCTCTTTTCATGTACTTTACTGTAAGTTTAGAATAGGTCAGTTACATATAAGTGTACTAAATATTTACTGCTCTGTAACCCAGTTTTTCGGTCACAAAATGTGAAAGAATTAGCTTCCTTAAGTTGACATTTTCTTAGCCAAGTCTCCCTTCTAATATGCAACTCTGATACCCAGCATTTTGGAAAATGTTCCTTATAAATACTGTATGCCTAATAATTAATTAGATGTTAAAAGAAAACATTTTTTTTTCAATTAAGAGATAATCTAGAAATTAGCTACTTCATTTCCCTTTACTTTACAGATAAGAGTATTGCAATAATGCATTTTGTTTATTTTTATTGTAGTATGACTTGAAGCTTTTAGTAATTTCATTCATTTACTATTTCATTTCTAAATGATCCTTTTTTGATAGCTTCTTTTAAGGGAAAATGTATTCCATTAAAATGTCAAGCCTATGACTGACATTGCATGTATGGAACAAAGTTAAATAATTAGATTTTATGTGACTATGGACAGATTCCAAAAGATTTTATTTTGTGAAAGCAGGTGACAATGAGCTTTCACCTGAAAGGGAACACTCCAATATGGCAATTGACCTCACCTCAAGCACACCCAATGGACAGCATGCCTCACCAAGTCACATGACAAGCAGTAAGTCTTCGTTTTATGATTTTCTTTTTTTCCCATTTCTCTAGTGACAGATTTGAATTTCTTAGGTGTGTGGGGTCCTCTCACACTGTGGTATAGCTACTGCTATAGATTTTGCTAAAGGAAGGAAAACAGAGATTTATTCTTTCATTTTAGTATCATAAAACATGAGTCTGCTTACTAGTCTGAACTATCCCAAGGTGGAATTTGGGAGCTGGTGCTTACCTGTATCAGGTAAGAGATGTTAGGATTTGCTGGTTATTGTTTTGACTTGCCAGGTTTTGTGACTTGATTTTTTTGCTGTGGTTGGATAAAAAAAATAGAGAACCCTGTCATTTCCAAAGGACTTTTCACAGTAAAAACTGAAATAGTTTTTTATTGTCTGGTTACAAAGCTAATCCATCAGTGGTAGAATATAGTGTTACCTGCTCTTTCATTCATTTTAAACATGTGAAAACTCCTCCTTCAAAATATTGGAAGTGAAGTGTGATTGCACATTTATGGAACTCATTTACGTCTGTTTCTCTAACAAAGTCAAAGCGTTTTGTTTTAGATTGTCCAGAGAAGAACTGAGAGAATTTGGAAGTATGTTTTGAGTTTGCAGGCATAGACAGTTTGGGCTATTTTTTGATAAAGGGTCATTCATTGATGTAGTAAACATTGTTTTGGTGTATTGAAAGAACAATTTACATACTTAAAGTGACAGAAGAGAAAATAGCTTTATTTTTTAAGAATATGGTTGGCTCTTCTCTTATTATTAGGTTTAATCAGTTTCATTATCAAATGTAAATGCTCTATTACTTGTACTGAAAGTAATTTGAAATCTTGTGTTTCCCTTATACTTTTGGTATGTGTTGTATTTGTATGTGTATGTATGTTATATATGTTATTTATTCTTATATATATAGTTTGTAAATATAATTTTAAAAGTTTTCTATTTGGATGAGATATGAAGGAAAGGCATTTTCTTTGCTTTTATTTTAAAAAAAACAAGGATTTTGTATAGGAAAACCAAATTATCTACACAATTATGTACATATTCTTATACTAATTCTGATTATTTGGTGATAACAACTTTTCCTCCTCCAATCTGGTATTACAGTTCTCAAAACTTAAGGCTATTATTATAAAGTAACAAGCTTTCTAAGTAGTAAAGACTTTAAAATTATAATCAAAGGTATATAGAATACTATTGAAGCCATCATCATGAATACATTTTGCAGTTCATTAAACTCAAGTGATTCAAGCTAGTCTTCAAATTATCAATGAACTATGTACATTTATTTATTTAAAAGTTTTCTTTCTGTTTTTAATCAGAAGCATTCCTAAGAAAATTTCATTCTAGAATCAGTTGTTGAAATATTTTTTACATATAGGAAGAAAAACCAGTTAAAATTAGTGAGTCGGTGTATAATAAGTTAAAATACAGTATTAAGCCTTATAATGGATTTTGTAGCATTAGTTTAGTTTTTTAAATTAATTTGGTAGGTGGTTTGGTAGGAGTTATGCTATCACAATGTAGCTAGTACAATTTTTACATTTGAACATATAGCATTTGTGCTTTGGTAGAAGAGATTTTTATTTCTCAAATAATTTTCACATAGTTTCTTAAAGAATAAAGATAGACTTGTATGCAGTTTCTGTTTGTTAAATATGTAGCAATTGGCTTTAGCTACCTTGGATATATGGGGTACTTACCAAACTAAACCCACTGCTGTCAAGTTGATTCCCACTCATAGCAACTCTGTAAGACAGAGAACTGCTCCACAGGGTTTCTAAGGCTGTAACTCGTTAAGGAAGCAGACTGCTTCATCTTTGTCCTGCACAGCAGCTAGTGGGCTCGAAGCACTGACCTTTCGGCTAGCAGCTGAGTACTTCAACCACTGTGCCACCAGCGCTCCTTTATGGAGTAGATAGTAACTGTTAATCAGAGACTTTTGACTGTTAATCCCTAGCCACCACCAGAATATCAACTGGGAAGTGCTTTTTAATTGGTCAATTGGCTCCTTGTGAATTTGATTTTGTTTTTTCATGTATTCAATTCAAAAAGGCAGTCTCCCCATCTATTTTAAATAAACAGTACAGAGTGTGGACATGATCAGTTTAAACAAATAAGAACTATGTTTTAGACATTTGAGCTTTCTCACCCAGTGACATTAAAATTATGTGTTCATAAAGAGGTTTTTTTTTTTAAACTTATTAGCCCGTGGCGATTCCATGCTAGTACAATTTTTTGTCTAGGCTGCATGTCTTTTTGGGTTCTCTTCCAAAGGATTGCAGTTTAAATATTTTGGCTCTCACTTCAGAGTTGTCTGTTGCATCCTTTATGTAGCCTCTATTTACAGTATCTAGGTTACCCACTTAGGTGTTAGATGGAGAAGATACCCGTTTTTCCTCTCTGTTAGATCTAGGAGAATATCAGCATTTTAGATTGCCAAAGCAAATAGTGGTAGAGATGGACTGTTGTCTATTAATTAGAAGAAGAGATCTCGAATCAGTCAGTCAGGACTTGGAATAATTTTGTGTGTCTGTGACCTGTCAAATCACCTGTTTTCCTAAATCCCTTTATGTGCATTGTTGACTTTATTAAGTGAAAATAGCTTGTTTACTTTTTGCTTTTATATATATTTTTTTCAAACATACTTTAAACTATTAAAGCCAAAAGTAAATGTGAAAACTTTTATGGTAGAAAAATGTAATCTCCAATAGCAGCAAGGAGGGGACAGGAGTAGATAAAAATAAACTGTAAGGGGGAAAAAGTTACTTGAAAACAGTTTGGAAAAAAAAAAAAAAGAATTAAGAACCTTTGGTTTTCATAATAGGTAACATTCTGGCAATAGTGTCAAGCAGCTTTGATAGTTCACTTACCATGGCTTTAGGAAAGTGGTCAGTATTACTGTAAGGTTCTAGTCATTTGTTTAGGTTATTTGGTGACTATTTGAAGATGAAAGGTAACTGTACGACTTGTTGCCAGCTATTGTATAAAAAAATAATGACAGACCTATCATTATTTGACAGTGCTAGAATAGACCACAAGCAACTTGGGAGAAAACTGAAAATGTTACAATGCCTGACAGGTTTTAGTTTTAAAATTCGTCATGTAAGATGATCTTAAAAAGAAGTAAGCGGTATTAGTGATCTTAACATTTTATAATGACTGCCTCCTATGTTTCAGAATGAGTTTTCTGGGAGAATTTCAGACATTATCTTCTGGAATACAGAACTCTTTGATAAGAAGATAGGCATTGTTGCCTGAGATCATTAGTGTACATATTGAGTCGGGTGAGAGTCCTCAGTGTCAAGGATGACAGTATATGCCTTGATGGCTACTGGAAATACACGGAGTTAAGTGATTTTAAAAATAGAATCTGGAAGTTAGAATCTGAGACAGACAACTCAGACAGAACAATATAAAAATAATCCATATTGTATTTTGGCCCATGAGTGGAGAATGACTTTGTGAATCTTTCTGTTTCTGCATTCCGCTCGCTTCCCATTCTTGCAAAGTTGCCTGAGTATCAGTTTCAAATTGTTCTACACCTGCCAGTAAATATTTTGAAAAATATTCCAAGTTCAAACATTATAATTAATTTTATTTTCCTATAATCTGCTCTTAGAATGCCAATAAGTAAATTTTCTTGCAGATAGTTAAGTTGTATGAAAACATATTGTGTCACAAAATTTGTTTCTACTGCTTTGAAACCTGTACATGGATCAAGTGCTCAGTCAATACTATTTATCAGTCAGTTTGGTGACCAGGTGGCACGTTTGGAATTGGGAGAAGTAGTAATTCTAGTTTTACAAGGCTCTGACCAATAATCAGGTCAGGGAATCTAGTTTATTCTTTTCAGAGTGCTTCACATTCATTTCTTTCTTAGCTAGTTTCCATATTTAGAATCTAGTGAAGCAGAAATATATTGTGATTTCTATTTTTCATGTGTGGAAATTGAGGTCTGAAGAAATCAATTGCCTTTAAGGTCATTTAGCAGAAGGATGAAGTTGTCAGGACTGGGGCGTAAAACTGTGATGTTAGTTCACGGGCTAGTGAGATCACTGAAATGCTGTACTTCTGTAATGTCATTAAATCAGGGTGCCCACCATGCCCAATACTGACCTATGTTTTAGTGACAAAAATAGTATTATAGAAGAGTGTTACTTTGAGGGTGAAATTATATCAAGTAATCTTGTTAAGCAAATGTGCTAATACGTTTTTTGGGTCTAGCTTACATTATGGGACTCATCGAGTTTCTGAGTTGTCTTTAGTTTTGTTTGGCAGTCACCCTTGGTCGGATCTCCATAGGACACACCCAAATATAACACCAGATGGGCTTGATGTGAAGTATCACTGTTTTGAACCATAGTACTTAGATTTGTATGTACCCAGTGTATTTTATATTTAACTCTTACTTTATAGAATTTTTTTTAGTAAAGTTTCATTTCTGTACATTTATGGGAAGTACTGAAAGAAAAAAGCAAAAGGAAAGAAAGGGAAGTATGTATGTGCAGGGAATTAAGAACAAACGTGCTATCTTTCTTTGCTCACCCCTTTCTATTTTATAAGACTGCTTAGAACTGAGAGCCCTTCCTCTCCAGGAGCTCACATTCTGGTGGCAAAAACAAATAGCTAAACAGGGCATTATCCTTTGGTAAGCCCAGTGCCCTGAATATTACAGGGAGTGGTGGGTGGTTCTAGTTTGGGAGGACTTCCCGGAAGGAGAGCCTGATTGAGCTGAGAACTATTAAGTGAAAAGAGTTTAAAGGCAGAGTGGCAGGCTTTCTCGGTAAACGTGTACCCATCTTGAGCAGAGCTGAGAGATAACATGAATATTCTGGGAAACAGAAGCGGTTTGGTATTTCTAGAGTATAAAATTGGAGACTAGGAACTTGAGAGCAGAGATGACCTGGAGAGTGAGGCAGGACAAGACGATGGACAATTTTGTATGAGGAGGGGTCTTTGATTTCATTTTCCAAGGAGCCAAGGGTTTTAACAAAGCAGATGACTT